CTTATGTTTCGAACTTAAGGAAAATCTATTAGCTTTAACGAGTTTAGGTTCAATACAAGAGTTCACCGCCACTAAATCGCAGCCATAATCATCATTTTCTTTCCATTTTCTCATTAATCAAACAGCTTTCTATTTTCTCATTAATCAAATGGCTTTCTATTTTCTCATTAATCAAACAGAAGGGAAAAACACAAACCATCAACTACAACTAAAAAAAAAAAAACACATGAAATCATTCGCATAAACCACATAAGATCAAAGAACCAAACAATCGGAAATAGAAAGACGAACCAGGCCGTGGCACTCACTGGCTTGGAAGGAGAAAGTGACGACGTCATAAATTTTGTTCGGAAGGACTAGTTGAATCAAAGTTTTTATTTTGTCCTAGAGTTTTAAACTAAATGGTAACAAATACTGAAAATCTCATAAAATTTTCTTTTACTATTTTTTTATTTAATTTTTATTAAACTATATGGATTTTTTTGTTTATTTCTTCGAATATGTAAACTCAAACAATATTGTATGATATTTTGTTCATTTGGAATTTTACATTTGAAATTATAGTGGATATAAGAAAAAAAATTAAATACTAAAGGTCCGTTTAGTTCGCTGATTCGAGTTTTTAATTCGAGTTAAAATGTGACTTTGTGTGAGAGCTATTTACTGTAGTAAAAAAAATTAGATGTGACTATTTCTGAAAGCTTTTTACTGTAATAAAACTTGAATTCTAAACTCGAATCGGTGAAATGAACGAGGCCTAAGATATAGCTGAAAGTTGAAATTAAAAGTGTGAAGAAATTTTTAAAAACATTTGTATATACTTTCAAATTACATAAAAATTGTAGGATAAAATAAGAAAAGTGGGGAGGACATAAAAAATTTTAGAAAAATCGGGGGGCTAAATAAGGAAAGTAGGGATACAACTATACATTTGAAAATAATAATAATAATAATGGGGCCACTTGGGCCAGGAGGCTTGAGGCCCCCTTAGCCCAAGCTGGCTCCGTCCCTGGAAGGAGAGGCGCTGGTGGTTCATGGCCTGGGCGTAGAGCTAGGAGAGAGAGTCGGCCGTGCTGCAGAAGGTGGTGTACATGGTCCGATCGACCTCATCGAGTCGCATGGCATCTGAATTTCGTTTCTTTGCCCTTTTTCCAGGATCCAAACAGAAAATTGAACACTGGAGAGAAAAAGAGGGATTTTGATTTCCTCATTATTATTATTATTATTATTTATTGAGGGGTGTAGGTGTGAATGAATTAGAGGAAATGAAGGAGAGAGAGGGAGAAGTGAAGGAGAGAGAGAGAGCGTGAGAAGTGAAGTAGAAGAAGAGAGAGAGGAATCAAGAGAAGTAGGATAGTGGGAGAGCCCGATAAATTTTCTCTACTTAAATTTTATTTTCCTCACATTTTTTCAAAGAAAGCAAAATTCAACAATATACTTTATTTTAAATTTAGAATTCGAGTTTTGTTACAGTAAATTTTTTTTTTAAATAATGACATTTAATTTTTTTATTACAGTAAAAAATTCTCACATAAAGTCACATTTTAATTTAAATTAAAAATTCAAATTAATAAACTAAACGAGCTATTTATACATTTTTTCTCTTACTTTTCCTCAGATTTTTTTTCCACCTATTCATTTTTTCCCTCCTAAAATTTAAATTTCCAAACACACCCTCATTTTGTTGATTGGGTAATTTGATTTCATATTCATAAACAAATTCATTCATGAAAAAGAATTGGGTAATTTGAATTCATTTTCATATCCAATTTCATTCATACCAAAATTCATTCATATTCAAAACTAAAATTCATATTTAAATATCTATTGAAATTAACTTCTGCTGGCGTTTTGTACAGAAGGAGGCTGAAACTCTAGTTCCTTTCTAATGCGGGACTCTACTTTTGGATTTTTAAAACGCCAACAAACTATAATATAAACGCATATCTTAAATTCTAGAACACAAGCATGTAGCTGGATAAAACCATTGTATGCGGCTATTAAATATTGAACATAGGCGAAGTCCGTGTATTCATACTAGAGGAAGGCAGTTTTTAGGATGGGATCTAAAAACGTAAAGTAAAAATTACGCTACAATATCAAATTTATGAAGCGGAATCAATTATAGCATTTCTTTTAAAATACTTCAAAAATAACAAAAATTAGATAATAATTATTATAATGATATTCACTTTTATACTGCAGAAATGTAATAATTATTTTAATGATATTATTTTTATTATTTGTGAAATATCCTAAAATCGAAATTTATAGTAAATACTAGTATATGAACGATGTGCCTAAGGCACGTCCCCGTTAATAACACAAATATTATTTATTTTTGTATTTTTTTAAGAGATTCATATGAAATTCTAAAGCTGATTGCTTCTACTGATTAAAAAATGTTAAATAATTCAATTAATAATTTGTGTACAAAATGAAAATATGTTGCATTTACGTAGCGAAGCGTAAAGAGGAAATATGGATCAATAAGTGCAATTTTAAATTTTTTAAAATTAGAACGGATGATCATAAAAACACTTAAGAAAATTGAAAAAAATTACTTTAGTTGGGCAATTAATTAAAAAAAGTATTTCTTATGGTTGTATTTGAGCAAATAATAAATTATAGAAGACTATGTGCAAAAACATTAATGTAGGGGATGTATTTGAGGAAAAAAATATTTTTTAATAGAAAAGAAAAATATTTAGTAAGAAACATTTCAAATATAAGACTAACAACAAAATAAAATTTTATACCAAGAAAGTAAGGTTAAAAAAAGAAGCAATATAAAAAATATTTTTCGTTGGTAAGTTAGAGGACAAGTATTTAGTAAGAAACATTTCAAATACAAGATTAAAAATAAAATAAAAATTTTTATACCAAGCAAGCAAGGTGAAAAAAAAAAAAAACTAAGCAATATTTAGTAAGAAGCATTTAAAATACAAGATTAAAAACAAAATAAAAAACTTTTATACGAAGCAAGCAAGGTTAACAAAAAAAAAAACCTAAGCTAGTAAGCAATCTAAGTACAAAAATTTTAAAAGCCATCATCCCCTCTAGATATAAGTTTGTGAAAATAATGTTAATAAATAGAAGTTTTGAAACTAATAAAAGTAAATAACAATTTTCTAAATAATCAGTTGGAATAAAAAATAAATTTCACTTCCATATTTATCTTGCATATTCTCCCTCACCGTTCTGCAAAATTCTCCTATTTGCTTGCCGCTCTTGTTCTCATTGCCTAGAATGACAAGAAAATCATTAGACAATGATAAAATTGCGTAGCTGAGGAGAACAATGAAGCTCTAGCAACACGTAGCAGTTTGTGACGAAAGCTCATGAAGGAAAAGAACTCGGAATCGTCAAAGTTTTTATTTGTCCATTCTTCTTGACGCGACAACAAATCCTAAACTTTAGAAGACAACAACGATGATAGAATATCTCTCGCCAGCTACAGCGGTTCTCCTCCTGACGACGACGTCGTAGATCTGAGGTTAGGGTATAGAAATTTGAAGATACAGGGGTACTTCTAAGATTTTAAAATTTTTGGTGTAAAATATATTTTTAATTTTATTTTTTTGGGCCCGTTCACTTCGTTGATTCGAGTTTGTAATTCGAGTTGAGATGTGATTTTATGTGAGAGTTTTTTACTGTAGAAAAAAATTAGATGTGATTATTTCTGAAAATTTTTTACTGTAGTAAAACTCAAATTCTAAACTCGAATCGGTGAAGTGAACGAGACCTAAATTTCTGTTATTAATTTTTGTTGCACCCTACAAATACGTTGGGCCTGTTTGTTTGCGTTTTCGTTTTCGTTTTTCACGGTTTTCAAAGCAAAAAAATGAAAACGGGTGTTAAAAACGTGTTTGGTGCAATTTTTTTTAAAAAACAAAACCAAAAACGTTTTTGTCTTTTTGTGGAAATCAGAAAACGAAAAAAATGTGTTTTCATTTTCTCGTTTTCGTTTTCTGTTTTCTGAAAAACGGATTTCACTTTTTT